TTGAGGTGCGCTACAAGCCCGGTGCTGCTGCTGCAGGTGGTAAGGGGAAAACGTTGCTGGAAAAGATTGTGGTGTCGGACAGTGACAAGTGCCCGCTGGCGCAAGGCATACACGCACAACCGGCATTGAAGGGTTCGCCGCGCAAGAAGAAGCTCATTGCCAAGCTGGAAAAGCCGGTGAGCTGCAGATACTAAACCAGCAAGGCAATGATATTATTTGTTCCATTTTGGTTTTTACTCTCTCATTTCAGCCAAGTAAGGATCCCTGGGGTAAGGCAGGTCCCGGTGGCAAACCGTGGCGCAGTCCGAAGGCAGTCGGCAGTTCGTTCATGAAGTCGCTGGTGAGTTGATATTAGTAGCGTGTATGTATATAATTCTAAGTCGGATTGTCCTTTATCCGCTTTTCGTGCCGATTTAACTGACTAATTTTCTATTGAAATGCAACAATTCGGTCATTGTGCTGTTGGCGGGTATCTTTACTCCCTGACTTACGAAACCCTGACCATCGTTGGGAAGTCGGCCAAATTTTATTTTGATCAGGAAGTGGTTAAAGAAGTAGCCTATTTTTCAATCCTAAACAATTTGTTTGAGAAATTTCATTTTCGAACCGGTGACGACCCTTCCCAAAGGCATTTTCGAAACTAAGCTCTCTAAAACTTTTTTTTTTTTTTTAATTTGGCACCTGTACTGTAATATTTGATTGAACTTACAAAGTTTATTTAATTTGACTTTTGTGACAAGTGATAAGTTTCCACAACCTAAAAATTTCTCACAGGGTTGGACCAACAAGGAGATGCTCAAAGATCTTGACCAAGATAATCCCGTCACGCCAGCCGAGAAGCCCACATTCCGCAAAGTGCGTACCAATAAAAAGGTGCAACGCTGTTGTGATCTCTGCATTTGCAGCTGTCCCGGCATCGTGACGAATAAGGGATGTGGCGGCATTGCTATGGCAACACGAAAGAAACCACATCAAAGCTCACCCAGCAAAGGCCAAAGCAATACGACTACAACAAATCCAACTGCACCAGCTACAATAACAGCTGCCGCTTTAAAGCAAAAATACTGCCCGCGCTTTGTACGCCAATGCGGTGCCACCATGGACAACAACAATTCCAATAATACAGAGACCAGTGCCAATGTAGGTGGCGAAGGTGTGGAATTGGTGCCACTGCTGGCACGTCGACGCGCCAATACCCGCCCAGTCAGCCTGTCCAGCACGGATGTGACAAAGCGCACCGCCTC